TAGACGGACGCTCACCGATCGTTCTTACGGAACTTACTCGTTCCGTTGTGCCTTACGGGATCTCTCTAGACCCCTTTGAAGCTACTGCAATTACCGTGAAAATCTTCGACCAATCGCCTGATAGCCGCCGGAAAGACTCCGCAAATTGCTTCCTTTAGTCACGCGCCTATCTATCGGCTAATTTCATTTGCTTACGTAAGTTAGCAAATTGAAATGTCAGTTTGAAGCTGTTGCGTATCTTATTTCTCCCTCTTATTCTTGCCAATAAACATTTATTGGCTAGTTTAGAAGCTCTGAAATATCTTTTGCATTTTTTATCGATTTTGCGCGGTCGGCCGACCAACTGGTCGTGGTTTAAACCACGTTTGATTTTGGGGGAAACGTAGGCGATGAACTGCTCAACGACGTTGCGGAACGTCACCTGCCCTTATTGGTTCTCATTTCGGTTTTCTGATTGGTGGAGTCAGTCAGCTGATTGGCCTTGTGCCTTGCCGTTGATTGGTGGGAGCCCGTCAGCTGATTGGGCAGGCATTCTATGCGCGGGTATTTGAATTTGTCAAGGTCACAGCACGTTATAGGAGCAATGGCGGCAGGCGACGTTGCTGTTGAGGCTTTCCAAAGACTTCTCCATGGACAAAAATTCCCTTCGTTTAGGGATTTGGATGAGGCGATCTCACGGTTTAGTGAGGTAACTGGTGTTTCTGTTTGCGATGACCAAGTTTAGGAAACTGGCTACCATTTTAAGCCAGTTAATTCCCACAAATTCATCGCCGGCAGCCCTGAGGCCGAGACATTTGTGTTTTCCAGCCGCAAATACGTTTGCGTCCTGGCTTCAACTCGAAAGTACGTTTACATTAACTTTGGTAAATCAGCGACTGCGCAGGCGCGTGGGCTGTGATGCGTTTTTTAACATTGGGCATTGCAAGGCGGGCTACCTTGCCGTAACGTCGTTTAAGGCAGAGCACGGACATGAGCCCGTGCCCGTGGAACCCCAGCATTCTAAGCAGAAAAGCCCAGGCTCCCAACTCACAGACTTTCGCACGCTACGTGCTGCCTCACCAACAAGTAAATACAGACTTCCTTTAACCGTGCTTTACAGCGCAAGAACAAACTCGTTTGCTTTGTTCTTTGTTTAAGAAAGTTTTCCAATGCGGGACCTTCGTGAGCTTCGATGGCTTAATGTCCGCGGTAAAAGAGTACGAGAAGGTAAGCCGTATTAAGCCTTCGGTTATTTTGTAGGCTTCCTCCACCAGCTTCAGCAGAACTAAGAGCGAAAGACTGCCGGCGACCCATCCGCGGGTTGATGCATTGAAGTACCGTTATGTCTACTTTACATGCTGTCATTCCGGAGTTTTTCGCAGTTGCAGCTCCAAGAAAAAAACAGCGTAAGCGACCATTGCTTTACATCCGGCGGTTTAGTTCTCAGAAGTTTGGATGTACAGCCCGCTTCACCGCCGTAGTGATTGGGGACGAATTGCACGTGAAGGCGCTAAATTTGCGCCACAACCACGTATGCAGTCGACAGATGGCCTCCGCCTACCCCAAGTTGCGGCGATTGGCGGAGCAAGACGAGAAAAACCTGCTGCGGTTGATGCAGCAGATGCGCCCATCTGCAGGACGGCTGAAGGCGTACCTGAAAAGTAAGATTACGTTCTCCAAACACAGTCGTAGGTTGCTATGGTCTTAATTACAAAATGAAGGACCTAGCCAACATGCGCCGCCGGCTGTTTCGGAGTGATCCAACAGTAAGGGGTATGAAAAATGCGCTGTTCTCAATGAGGGGTGGCTGCGACCCCGATTTTTTTTACGATGATTCGCGGGGCATGTGCTCTACGAAATCGGTTCTGCGGGCCGCCTGCTTTACGACGCCGGCTCTGCGGGCGACGTACTCTGCGTATCCGGAGGTTGTCCAAATGGACGCTACCTACCGGACCAATAGGCAGGGGTGTGCATTGTACCACATTGTGGTAACTGATAAGCATGGGCACGCTCAGTCCGTGTTCTACGCGTTTGTAACTCAGGACGACGCCGTTAGCGTACGGTGGGTAGTAGATAAATTTAGGGAAAAGATGGGGTCTGCTACTGATAACTTACGCACAGTGTTTATAGACAAGGATGCAAAATAACTGAAGGCCTGGAGGGAGGTTTTTCCTGGAACTCAGGTAGCCGTCCTTATTTGCACATTTCATGTGCTCCAGGCCTTCAAGAGAAAGGTCAAAAGCGTGTATAAAGACGTAAGGTCTGAGCATGCTTTTGACCTTTTTCGCAGGGCTGTGTATGCATCCAGCTTTAAGTTTTTTAAATTACATTTCAATAGCTTTAGGGAATGTTTCCCCGAGCTCTGGCCGTATATTGTGGTCAACTGGTGGCGGTGCAGACGCCGGTGGGCCCATTACGCTCGGCGTAGTCTTTTGACGTACGGCGACAATACCACAAATAAGATTGAGAGTCTTAATCGAGTCTTAAAGCAGTGGTGTAGACCATACATGTCTCTCACCGACTGCGTTAATAGTATAGTTTGCTTTTTAGATTCAAAGGCCGTAGATAACGAGCGGCTTGATGCGGATGAGTACTGCCGCCGCAGGCACTACAACGGACTAACCCCGCGTGTCAGCAAACTATGTCAAATGCTGACTGGGTATGCTGCAGAAGTCCTGCTGAAGCACGTGTCCGCAAACGGCAATGTAAAGCTTTGTAGTGAGGCTGTTGACACGTGCAGCTGTCGGTTCCATCGGAACTGGCAGCTGCCGTGTGTACACATAATCAACTACATTGAACAGAACAATATTGAGCCATGCCGAGCTCTTTTAAAGAGTAGATGGGTCTTTCGGCTAGATGTCTCTGAGATGCGCGTCACTGACGAGAATGTTGACCCGGAGGCCGTAACGTCCTTCCAGGTTGACATTCTCGTCAGCAAAGGGCGAGGGCCGCTTACTGAGGACTAAAAATACAGAGTAGCCATGCGACACGTGCAGCCTATTGTGGAGAAGTTAAAGAGTTGTGGTAGTCGACGCTTCGAGGAGTTGTTGCGGGAAGTCGATGAGTTCGCCAACTGGATCATGAATGCCCCATCTGGTGGTCTACATGGGTCGCTTGTCGACCTCCCTCCACAACCGAACGCGGATGAAATGGGGGATGACACGAGCGACGAAGTCGTTCGTTGTCAGGTGAGAGAGGAGGGCGATGTGCTAATCGCGCAGTGGGGCTCAAACCAAGACCCTTCTGTACGTATTTTGCGCAATGACTCGTTGCTCCCCAACTTCCACATTCGTGGCCGGCCATGTATGCGACGCTCCTGGGCGACCCGCAAACCTCTGAGAAGTCGTCCGACGAACACAACTGTCTCCACGAATAGTGCAAGCACAAGTCGTATGCGCTTGGACTCTGGCATACCCAGTCGGCATTTGGACGAACGGGCCGTGGCCATAGATGATATCCCGTTTGTAGATGCGTGTGGTGTCTGCGGCGGTAATACCATGGTAAGTAGGGGGACCATCTTTAAATGCGTCTGGTGCCAACGCAAGTTCCACGAACTTTGTGTCGAAAACCCACAGGTCTGTGATAGGTGGCTATGCACCTTTTGCACCGCCCTAACGGGTGGATGTGAGTGAGGCTGTGAAAAATCTAGTGGCTGTGATCTTATTTTATTGTGCTTTTCGAGATAGAGCAGTTATTTAGCGTTCTGTGATATCTCAGTACGGCTGTGATCTGCGACTGTGATAGTATCATAGTCTTCTAGATTTTATTTTGCTTCGCAATTTTTGCGCAAGTTAGCGTTCTGTGATATCTTGGTGCGGCTGTGACCTCTTACGTGACTGTGATAGTATTTGAGTTTTGTTGATTATATTTTAATTTGTAACGTTACGTAAGCTGTGCGTAAGTTATGAGCAACAGACCCTGTCACACCCTTTCAACAAACGCGTAACACGGCAAT